AGTAAATGTATTAAACTAGCTTGCAATTTTTCCCGAACAATATGGCAATCAAGCTAACTGTGTTTGGTTCTCATGGAAAACCAAATTGGAAGCAATGTGGAGGGTTGACTGATTGTCACAAAAAAAAACAATAGGATGAGAACTATGAAGACCAAAGTCATGAAGGAGGTAAGAAAGCCATTGAGCCTCACAAGTGCTTTGGGCCAAGGCACGATATTCTGCTTCAGCAGAAGATTTGGAAACAGTGGCTTGCTTTTTACTCTTCCAAGAAATGAGTGCAGGTCACAGAAAGAAAGAGAACACTGTTACAGAACTACGAGTAATAGAACAAGAAGCCCAATTAGAATCATTATATCCTTTGAGTGTGAGATCAGAAGAAGAAGGGAAGAAAAGTCCCTTTCGAAGAGCATTTTTGACATATTTCAAAACTCTTATTACCTGCACGGATATGAGACTGGATACAAGTATTATTTTTAAATGTGGGTGGTGCAACCGGAACGAGGCAAAAATATTTTTTAATGAAGTTATCACCAATATTTTGTTTTGAAGGAAAAATATTAGAAAATCCTTTTAAAAATGTCTTTGAAATCAGACTTAGGCTTGAAAGTCAATCATGTGTAGAGAATGTATTAACACCCTATAACGCCCGTTGAAAATAATATTTTTAATTAATTGCGCAAAACTATATATTTTTACAAATATTTATTTTACTCCTAAAAAATATTTGATTTTTATTCTTTATTTTTTTAAAAAAAAGTATTCATTTTTATTTTAAAAAAAAATAATTAGATAAAAATTTAAACTAGCAAATAACTAATCATTAAACTCTAAAATTTGATAACATTAAGGATAGAATTTTCTATTCAAATAATATTATCAATAATTACTATTATTGATTTTTCATGAAATAGAACAATTTTTATTTTACCATATGTGTAAAAGTTTATGATAACAAATGGTTATTCTATAAACTTTTATGGTTTACGATATTAAAAGTAGAAGTATTACTCAATAATATCATGAAATATTGCACAAATTAAAATAATTTATATATAAAATAGGTCTCTTTTAATATTTTTAATTAAAAGAAGAAAAACTTGCATAAAAATTTATGTTAAGAAATGATTAATCATTAAATTCTCATAATAACCTTAAGGATAGAATTGTTATTCAATTAATGTTATTAATTGTTATATATATTTATATATATATATATATATATTAATATTTTATATAAAAGAATTTTAATTTAAAAAAAGCCACATGCACAAGAGTTTAAATTAGCAAATGACTAGTCATTACACATTTACAATAACATTAAAAATAGAATAATTATTCAATTAATGTTATTGATTGTCGTATATTTTTCAATTAAAAATAACAACCATATTTTTAGAAATTATCCTTTCACAAGAATTTAAGTTAGCAAATAACTAGTCATTAAACATTTACAATAACATTAAAGATAGAATAACTATTCAGTTAATGTTATCAATTGTCATATATTTTTTAAAAATAAATAAATAATAACCATATTCTTGAAAATTATCTTTTTACAAGAATTTAAGCTAACAAATGATTAGTCATTAAATTCTTATAATCAAATAACGTGAAAATTCATGATAATAAATAATTATTCTATAATCTTTATTTTAAGTAACATTAAAGGCAAAATTGCCTGTCTATTAATGTCACAAATTACTAAAATTATCACTTTTGATAGGAAAAAAAATAGAATCAATAAAATACAATGGTTGTAACATATACACATTAAAAGTTATGACCTTCAAATTTTAATACAGTTAAGTAAATCTTTTTAACATTCTAATGCTTTAACTTAATAAAAATAACTACAAGGAGCATCGATGTAAATCTTTAAACATTCATCAAAGCAAAAAAGAGGAAAAAAACATAAAAGAAACAAAAGAATAAAAAAAAATTGAAGTACATAACTACCCAATAGTTGAATTCAAACAAAAATCAAAAGATCAACATTATTTTTCCTGGATGTTCTTGCTTTATTTATATATAATAAAGAATGAAAATTGATATTTGCATATGAAACATACATTCAAAAAACAAAATAAATACAAAAGAAATGAAAGGGGAAAAATAATTACCTAGGATAGGCAATTGATGGATAACCCATGCAATGCCTCTAAAATCTGTCACATATGTGCACAATGTCAATCACATAAGTCCGCAATTTTGATTTGGAAAAATCACGTGTCCTCCAATCTGATGGGTTATTCTCATAAGTCATAACCCATTATCTCCACTTTCTTAGCAAGTTATCTCCTCAACCAATAATTGCTTAGCTTGTTATTTATTATTTTTAAATTTTTAATTTTTAAATATCTCCTCAACCAGTAATTGCTTTGCTTGTTATTTGTTATTTTTTAATTTTTAATTTTTAAATATCTTATCTCTTTATCCAATGCCTTGGTTTTCTCAACCAAATAAAATTGATTATTTATAATGGGTATGAGTACGAGTATTGTAGGATCTTATTCAGACTTTACCCATTGTCATCCCTAGGAACAAGATGAGTATATGTTTACCTACCCGTACTTCTACTCGTTTTAAATTTTAAGAAACTTAATTTATTTTTTAAAAAAATTTACTTGACATTTATGTAATTCTTATTCTATTTCAAATTTATGTCAAATAAAATTTAACTAATATAATTTTATAATTATTATTCTATGTTAAAATTCTTATTTTTTAATATTTTTTTAAAAAATATTTAATTAATTTTTAGGTAAGTATAAGACATATATGAATATACTCGATACCTGATGAAGACGGGAATGATGATACAAATTTCATACCCATATGAATTTCACTATCCTCGTTCTCGTAAGTACGTCTCCATCCACTCATTCAACCAAGATCATCGCTAATAGATGGTTCTTTTCTAAATTCTTAAACTATTTTGTAGGATAGTAAAATTCATATATCCATCTCGTTGCAAGAACTAAACATGTATGTTTTAAATTTTGAGGACCAAAAAATAATTAGTCTAAATTTAAAAGATTAAAAATATAATGAAAAAAAATAGAGACTCAAAATTTTTTTTTTTTTTTTTTTTCATGAAAACCGTTCTTGAAACCACAACCAACATGGAAATTGAAGTCAATTTATTTCAAATTAATTAATTTTTTACACAAACTTAATTATAATTAATTAATAACTAATTATAATTTTTCCATTATTTTCTTAACTATTTTCTCATTTTAAAATGCAATCTTATACGACTGTCAGTTTACGATGTAATCCCAACTTTAGCAGAATTACATACTAAAAATTTACACAAATTAAAAGTGATATGCATACTTATGTAATTAAATCTTCTCTTATAAATATTTTAGGTGTTTCAACTTTAACTTTGAAGTCCTCGTAGGTGGTTTCCCTCCACTCATTCAACCAAGACCATCTCTAATAGATGTTTTTTATTTTTTTTTCTAGATTCTTAAACTAATTTACCATTTCTTACTTTTCTTTTCATCGGCCAAAGAAAGTAATATATTAGATGGCAGTACAAGGAGTATTCCACTATTCTACATAATACATAATATGTGGCTCAATACAGACTTGCATATCATTGACCTTCAAAAAAACGAGAGAGAAAATTCTTTGTTAATTAACCGGACCTAAATTTTATTAATTCAGAAACATGCTCTCGGTCGAGTGCTTCATTTTTTAAGATATAATGCTATTTTTGTGTATCCATAACAATCAAACTAGCAAACCAGATAGAACACTACACATTAATTTCTCAAATTCTCTCCTTACTTATTTGCACCACCAGAGAGGATCGATGTGGCTGCGACATGGAGAATTGAATCTTTTATAAGTACCTAGTTCTTAACAACACAAACAGAAAGGAGAGAATTGCAAAGCATTGGAAGTGAGAAGGGACGAGAAATAGAAAAGGTGGGGTTCATATGAGTGTGAAAGGGTTGGAAAAGAGTGAAAAAAAAAACTGAATTAATGTGTAATTTGTAATATAAAAAAATATAATGGTGTTAGATTAATGTTATACGTCAGTCAAGGTTCCACAAAAAAGAGTGCCAATGCAAGAACCCAAATGACTGGAGAAGCTCTAAAAGTTAATCTAGCACAAGTTAATGTTATCTACAGGAAACCGATTTAAATGCATGTAAGAAACACAAACTTCCAACTTGGATTCAATGGAACAAAGTGCAAACATCAACAAACATAAAATATTTTCCGTAACAAAAATTTTTTCTCCTAAAAAATAACGGTATAATATTTTAATTACATTTTCCAAGTTTGTTACACAACTTTTTTTTTTTTTACTGAAGTTTGTTACACAACCTATACACCATATATATACAACTACTTGAGCTAAAATTAATAGTATAAAAGTAACTATTTAATAACTTTCCAATACAAGGTCATAAAACTATCAAATTCAGAATTTGATTTATCAAGTCTGTTAGATTATCAAACCAAAATAATTATTCACTATTAAAATTTTTAACCCCCTTCAAACAAACACCCAACTCATTTTACGCACCCAAAATTATGAGATATTAGAATCGTTAACCAATTATCAGCCTAGACAGTTGTCTTTTAACAAAATTCAATTCTACACAACTAACCAAAAACTCCTTAGCTTACTCGCCTCCTCTGCCCAAAACTTTGCATATAATTCAAACAAAACTATTGTTGGATACCTAATATCCTATATGACATCTATAAAAGAAATAAAATAATATAAATATAATAAGTAATATAATTTGACACTAAAAGAGAAGATAATTAAAGGGAGAATTGATAATTATTGATGGGATCTTTATAAATAAAGGTGTTGAAATACTAATATATTTATTGTTCTTATCCAAACTTCTAAAACTAGTAACAGATATGCAAATCACGCAACCAAAAGCACTAGTATTAATGTATTTTTATTATAATAATAATAATATATATGCTAACAACTAAAGAGCCAAAAGCTAACAGAAACAAACCACATAACTTTTAAATTTGGCAAAGTGGGGACACTAAGTACCCAAAACATGTATCATGGTAAAAGTAACACTGCATGGCTCTACTCGTTTCATGACTAAACCCTATATTCTATAATATTAATATTAATAATCATCATTTCATGGTTTCAAATCGGAGATCCTCTTGATGAAATCCTTGACTTGTGAAATCAACTGAGAAGATTCGGGCAAATCAGGGAACACGTAAAAAGCATGAATCATAGTTGGATACTCGATCAATTGAGCCTCTTTGCCCGAATTTTTCAACCACTCATAGTACCTCTTTTGCCAATCTTGTAACGGGTCAAACCCACCCACAAACACTAAAGTTTCCGGGTAATCCAAACCCGACAAGTCCTCCGAATTCGGCCCGCTAACGTTCGCCGCCCCGTGATCACGATCCGACCCGTCCGGCAAAAAGGCCTTCCACAGCCAGTCCGTCCTCTCCACCGACACAAGCGGCGCCCCCTTCAGCCGCACCTCCGCCATGTGACACCCTCTACCCCAACATAATTACTTAATAAGCATTAACTATATTAAAAAAATATATTAGAGTGATAATAAATATCATAAGGTAGAAGATGCACATTCGTAATTAACATTTATACCAAACTCAAGAAGTCATAATAAAACAAAGATTATAAATTAATCCCAGTAAAGGTGGCAGTGCCTCCTAGTTAGGAATCAATTTATAATTTTTTTTGATATCATACAAATATATTTAAATTTCAAAAAAAAGAAAATAAAACATTATTATCCCAGAAAGAAGCCTAGCTAAGCCCGATGTCACATCCTATCAGAGCATGCCCACTTAAGCCTCTAGACTTCATTACCAACATCCTCATGATTAAGATTACCTGCAACATAAATTTAAACATATACAAGAATAACAAGAGGAGTGAGAAACTTCTCACTTAGTTGCAGGTATAGAAATAAAAGTTAAATAGCACACACACACGCAATATAATTCACATATATAATCAATCTCACATATATGCTTATGTATAATGATTTTCTTGACTTGACTCACTAATGTATGCATGTGGCGCCATACGGAAGTTTCAGAATTTATCACTGGTGACCCAAAGGTACACCTATCACTGGTGTTCATACACCTCGTTAGCATGTTACATCACTGGTGTCCCGAAGGCACACCTATCACTGGTGATCATACACCTTGTTAGCATCACTGGTATGCGGCCTCAGCGGCACACCTGGAATAATATATGCATATGATGCATGTCATACATTCATAGACTCAACATTTAGCATATTACACATATAAGATTCATATTTCATAATTATGATTTATTTTATTAATCCAACTTTAATAGTCCAATAGTCCAACAGTCCAATAGTCCAACGGTCCAATAGTCCAACGGTCCAATAGTTCAACAGTTCAACGGTCCATTCATGGATCGTAGGTCACAAGTCATGAGTACATATTTCATACAGTCATATCCTCATAGGTCCGCATAGGTCTCATATATACTTCATATACTCAAGTCATAATAAGATCTTCATAAGTTCGCATAGGTATTTTTATTCTAAAACTTATTCTTTTTTAACATCAATTACATATTTATTAATTAATAGGAGGCTTAGCCTTCCATATCTTTATTAATAAACAATTTATTCATTTTTTTTTTTTTTTAAAAATAGTATAGTTATTATTTACTACGGACAAGAAATCAAGTAATGCAAAAAGCAAAGCACATTAATAACAATATTTCATACAAACAAACAACAGGCATAAGATCGGGAGCCAATCTAACAAACAACTATTTAACGATTACTCCAACACCCCCAAGCGAGGTTTCCCACTCCCCCCCTTACCTGGATAAAAAAGAATTCGGCAGAATCTCCTCTTTTTCTTCTTAGATGATTATCGAAACAAGGGCAGAACCTTCTCTATTCTCCTCCTCTTTCAAAACCTAGGCAGAACCTTATTTTCTTTTTCCTTCTCTCTCTCTTACTTTCTCTCTCTATTTCTCCAGAATTTCTTTCTCTCTAGAATTCTGAATTTCCAAAACCTTAAGCCCCTATTTATAGAAATTTTGAAGTTACTATGCACTATGCACTATTCATTAAAATAATATTATAAATTACTATGCACTATGCACTATTCATTATTATATTCAAATTAATTAAAATTTTGAAACGGAAAGAATCCGCAGCCCACGTTTCAGCCGGCCCTTCACTGTGCAATTGCATAGTAAAATACTATTCATACATACGTATACGTAATTAATAAAATACGTATATATAAATAGTAAAATACGTATACATGAATAGTAAAATACGTATATAAATAGTAAAATATGTATATAAAAATATGATATATCTACTAAGAATCTCAATACATAAAAATAAAATTTTGGGATGTTACACCGCCGTCCGCTCCTCCCCACCAAACCACGGCTGGATGGATACCAACCCGACGACCCGGATTTCCCGGAGCCCCGACTTCGCGACCCGAACCGCCACATGATGGGCCAAATTTGCGCCGGCGCTGTCGCCGGCGAGGAAGCACTTTGACAGGTCAGCATTTTCCGGCAGCACCGCGCGGTTCTCTTCGAGGAATTTGAGCACGTCCTCGCCGTCGTCGTATTGGGAAGGGTACCGGTGCTCCGGCGTGAGGCGGTAGTTGACGGAGACCACGACGGCGGGGACTCGCCGGCAGAACCGCCTGCAAACGGCGTCGTAAGCGTAGGAGTCCGGGGAGAGGAACGCGTAACCGCCGCCGTGGAAGAAAACGACGACGGGGAGGGTGCTGACGGCGGCGGCGGCGGCGGAGGGGGTGAAGAGGCGGAACCAGAGGTTTCGCGTGGCGTCGACGGTGACGTCTTTGGAGGAAACGCCGTTAACGGGGGTTTGGTTGGGGCTGGCTTTGCGATCGAGGAAGTTCATGAGACGGCGGTTAACGGTGCCGTTAGAGCGACGTGCGGCGTCGGAAATTGTAGAGAGAAAGGACAACGAAATGCGTGTCTTCCAAGGAAGAAAGGGTTTAGGTTTAGGGTTTGGGGGTTCGGAGGATTTGGTTTTGGGCGTTTTTGCGGCCATTGTCGTTTGGGAGTTGGGAGAGCGAGTGAGAGGTGAATGTGAATGGGCCAAGACGACACGTAATTTCAATATTTTTTCCGTCGTTCGCAACTGCATTGGTCCTTTTATAGTCGTTGAAGAAAGGTGACTTGTGTTTGCCAGGTCGGTTATACCTGAATGGGAAACAAATGAGGTAACGCCACGTCCAGATTCTAGAAAGAAAACATGAATCTCATTCGACGTTCCACCAGTTTTTTCTCACAAGTTGTCAAATTATAAATGATAAATTTTAATAATTAATAACTAGTGTGGATTTTTTTTATAAAGATTATATAACAATCATTTTAGTATATGCAAATGTTAATTATGTTTATCATTTACATAAATAAATATTATATTTAAATGCATAGGTTATTGTTTAATATATATATATATATATATTTTTTTTTTATTTTTTTTAAACATATAAATTATATATAACAAATAATTTATATTATAAAAAACATTAATATAA